CACAGGCAGCAGTGCTGTACACACACACACACACACACACACACACACACACACCCACCCTGCACTGGCAGTAGTGCTGAGCACCTTTCTGATAACAGCACACTGTGTGGGCTCATTTTATGAGATACAAGGGCTCTGTGAGGGAGAGGCCAGGCCGGGGCATCGCCTCAGCCTTGTAGACACAGAGCTGGCTTACAGGGCCCCGGGCCTCTCCCAGGCCATTGAGTCCCAAACTGCCAGCTCCAGACCAGGGCTTAAGTCCCTTCTGGTGGTAAATCCACAGCCACACAGTGACAGCTCTGAGTAAATGTCACAGCTTTTTTTTAAAAGAGAAAAAAAATAAAATTTCAAAACAAGATAATTGAGGGGTGACACAGCTTTTAACTGTCCTCCCTGGGCCACTGGGCCTTCGCACCCATGGGAGTGGCGGAGGCCCCTCTGTCGGCTGCTCTGGAAGGCGTGCACTCAGCGCTCTTATAGCCGTTATCCCATGGGTTAGAAGCGTTTTTTAAAAAGATTTTACTGAAAACTTAAAATAATTATTTGGTAGTAATGTAGATTCAACCCAGGGCCTTCACATTGACTTACATCCCCAGCCCATTTTTATTTTGAGACAGAATCTGGCTAAGTTGCTGGGCTGGAACTTGTGATCCTCCTGCCTCAGTATTCCAGAGTGCTGAGATTAGAGTTGTATACCACCACGCTCAGCTCACTGAAAGTTTTTTATTGGCCTTTTGGAGAGAATCTGCCAGGAAGAATGAGTGCATCACATTGCTGGGAGCATGTGTCAACCCCCCTTTGCTGATTGTGTGCCAGTTCCAGGCTGCCTCCCGCCACTTATCTGTGGTATGAAACCTGCACCTTGCAGGGAATGCCAGTGCTTGCTTGGGTCATGTTTGATCCCAGTTGTTTGTGTTCCTGGATCCCATACCAGATTTCTTCTGCCTCTTTCCTGAGCACCCGTGGGAGTGGCTCACTCGTTTCTCCTCCTGGAGCATGGGAAAGTAAAATACATTTTTTCTTGCATTCAACCCAGATGAGTGAAGTAAAAAGTGGCAGAACTCAGGACTTGTGGCCACAAGGTGGCAGTGTAACTCCATGGGGACCTTGCCACCTGCAACTGTTGGTGTGGGGGGAACATGGCCTGTCTAGTTGTTCATTGCTCCTGGACACCTCTTTGGGGAGTTGCCCCTGCAGAGTCATGCTGAGAAGTTTCATCCTCCAGCCTCCTCTTCAGGGTTGGGTGGTTATGGTGGGAAAGCTTGGACTTTCTAAGGACCAGGTTTCAGCACTGGCTCCGTCTTATCCCAGAAGTATAGCCTTGGGCTGCTACTTCTCTGAGCCTCAGTTTTCTTGTCCTGTAAGATGGTAATTGTTGTACAGTCAGAAAAAGCCCCGCATATTGTGGTCCATATCATAAATGCATGCTGGCTTTATTGTTGGGGACTCCTGTGTGCCAGCAGTCTCTACACTCTTCCTACAGCGTCCCCCACTTACCCCCATGCTGCTGTGTATCACTTAGTCCCTCCCAGTTCTTGCCAGGTCCTTCTGCCTGTCCATTTGTTCTGCAGCCCTCCCCCACTCAATCTGTGTGTCTGTCTGTTTCTCTGTCTGTCTCTGTCTCTGTTTCTCCGTCTGTCTCTGTCTCTGTCTCTCTGTCTGTCTCTGTCTCCTTTCTCTGTCTCTGTCTCTGTCTCTATCTGTCTCTGTCTCTCTTTTCAGGCCATGAAATATCCCAAGCAGCTGGAGTGTGTTCTGGGTGGGGCTGATCTTGACTTCCCACAGGGGAAAGTCTGTGCGGGCCCTTGTAATTATTTTGACATCTTTGTCTGCGCTTAGTAGAAACTATAATGAAAATGACAGCTCTTGTTACTGAGCTCATGGCTGACACTCTGCTAGGTTCTTTGCAGAAATATTTAGCCCTCACAGCATCTTTGTGAAGGAGATGCTGTCATCACATTTTATTTTATTTTTAAATATTTTTTTTGTTTTTTTCTCGTGCTGGGAATCGAACTCATGACCTTATGCTTGCCAGGCAGGCGTGTGGCTGCTGAGCTACATCCCCAGTCCCTGTCGCTTCATTTTAAAGGAGAGTTGTATCGAGATGCTTTTCACACCAAGCAATAAAAATGTTCTGCTAAAATCAGTTTAAGCAGTCAGGAAAGTTTATTATACCACAAAGAAGTCACAAGGGATGTCAGCAAGGGTTTTCTCATGATTCTGCAGTGAATTGGTTTGTTTTTTTAGTAATGACTGGGGGCTCCCCTAGCAGTTCTGGGGTGATTGGCATGGTTCCAGGAGAGATGATGTAGTTCCCTGTCCTGTTTTGTGGTGGCCTCTCCATAGATTTCCTATAAAACCCTTCTGGGTCAGCTGGTTCTTAGGTTTGCTCCTCACCAGTCACTAGTGAAAGCACTGAGCTAACGAGCCTGGCTTCCACTGGCCAGAGTTCAGCCCAGGGCCTTAACTACCCTGCATGGCTGGGTAGGGAGGAGGAGGGGACACAGAGGAGGCCAGTGATTATGCAACCTGTGGGTTGCAGATGTGTTGAGCACTGTGCTTGAGACCCACACCTGGCTCACTGGGGGCCTTGTGTTGTTCGAAGCCAACCACAGGTAGAAAGGAGGAGACTTTGGCGGTGCCATTCCTGCTGAGTCTGAGCCCAGAGTCTCCCTCTCTGGGTCCTTCTTCGTTACTGTTTTAGTTCTTCCCAGGCTGCCTTTCTCCCCTCACCCCTCACTGCTGTCCCCTCTGGCCGGCTGCTGGTGCCTTCTGTGTACCTCATGCCCTGAGCTCAGGGAAGGCCAATCTCTGCCTTGCTGTTGACTTCCTGCAGGGGTCCTGGTGAGGTTTTCTGTAGAGCAGGTGGAGTTGCTGCAGAGTCCTCTCAAGATCTAGAAGGAGAGACCAGGGAAGTCGCTGCGGGGCCGGCTGGAGTGGGAGTGCGTCTGTGGCAGTGCTGCCACCAGGGCTCGGGTGTAAAGCACGGCACGGAGAGTGCCAGCCCCTCAGAGCCTGCAGTGCTCAGGAGGCGCTTGGCTTGCAGATGCTGCAGGACTGCCCCAAGGCCCGCAGGGAGGTGGAGCTGCACTGGCGCGCCTCCCAGTGCCCTCACATAGTGCGCATCGTGGACGTCTATGAGAACCTGTATGCGGGGAGGAAGTGCCTGCTGATTGTCATGGAGTGGTAAGCCGCCTGCTGTGTCTGACCTGGCCTGTCCCCACCTTGCTCAGGAGCCCCTCCCCTGAGGACACCCCTGCGTGGACCCTGAGGCTTGGAACGTAAAATGCTTGCCATCCCTTGGGGGTGTGGAGTGTGGTGGTGGGCTCTGTGTTCCCCAGCTTACACTGCAGCTTCCTTTCAGTTTGGATGGTGGAGAACTCTTTAGCCGAATCCAGGACCGAGGCGACCAAGCATTCACGGAAAGAGGTAGGAAGGGCCTGGCCTGGGGTGGGCTGGGCAGGCGTGGTGGCAGGACACTGCTGCCTGTCCATTTGTTGCCTGCCAGGGTGGGTCCCTCAGCTGGTCAGGCCCCTCCTGGCTTCCTTGTTTCTGGAGTGGGAGATGGGTGTGGGAGCCTCAGACTGCACAGGGTTGGACTAAGTTTGAGGTTTTCAAACCGAGTGACACAGCTTTGTGACTTTCTTTGATTCCTACCCTCTCTACTCTCTGTAGAAGCATCAGAAATCATGAAGAGCATTGGAGAGGCTATCCAGTATTTGCATTCAATCAACATTGCCCACCGGGATGTCAAGGTGCCAGCTGTGCCTGAGTGCTGGGACGCTGTGGGATGAACCTGTGGTCACCTGAGGGCGCCTGCCAAAGTCAGGCAGAGTCTTGAGGGTAGAACAGGGCAGTGTGCCATTTTCTGTCCTTTGGGCCTGCTCTCTCTGCCCATGGTCAAACCACAAACCGGCAGTGATGCCCTCTGGCCACGCCCAGGCTGTGGTTCTCCCCATCAGCACACCACTGTCACACCCTGGGCTTTTCTGCCCTGTGGTGCTCACCGCAGCACCACAGCTCCAGATGTTCTGCCAGCCCTGCAAGGCAGGGACTGGCTTGTGGCGTGGTGCTCCTCGTGGTATCACTGCAGAGATGGGTGGGGGATGGCCCTGATCAGGGTTGGCAGAGTTATTACTTACCCATCTCTCTTTCTGTAGCCAGAGAATCTCTTATACACCTCCAAAAGGCCCAATGCTATACTGAAACTCACTGATTTTGGCTTTGCCAAGGAAACCACCAGCCACAACTCTTTGACCACTCCTTGTTACACACCATACTATGTAGGTAAGTCCAGACTTTGCTCACCCCTCTTCTTGCAGACCCCGGGGTCCACAGGTCCTGCGGGAGTTGTGTTCTTGTGGACCTTGCTGGTTCTGGTGGGACACCATGTGAAGGAGGGCTGTCAGGGTTCAGCCAGCACGGAGGACCTGAGGAGTCGTCTACTTGAGATTGTGGCAGCATGTTGTCTGCCTGCTCAGTCTCCCTGAGAGGAGCCATCATCTCCATCACATTCTCGTAGACCTGGCTGTGCTGCCTCGGCTGACAGGCACAGAATTGGCTCCAGAGCATGTTTATGAGATGAAACAGACAGTGTGGGTCTGAGAGTCTAGTAGCAGTTTTCATCTTAAGATTCCATGTGCAGGGTTCCTCCTGGAGGAAGGGCCGTGCTCTCCTCCCACCTCAGCTGCTGTCCATCATGGTGGGCTGAAGGCTTAGGATGGGAGCACTGCAGAGAAACTGGGGTAGACCTCAGTGTTCCCAGGCCCACCCATAGTGATCTTTGGTTTGCAGCTCCAGAAGTGCTGGGCCCAGAGAAGTATGACAAGTCCTGTGACATGTGGTCCTTGGGTGTCATCATGTACATCCTGTGAGTGTGCTGGGCAGGGGGCCAGGCCGGGCTGGGCTGTGGTAGGGCAGGGGGTGAGGGAGGCCTGTGCCTCTCCAGGACAAGAGGAAGAGGCAAATGCTACCATTGCCCTTTTGGATGGGGGATTCCCTGGCAATCCCCTGTATGCCCTCTTCTCTCCATGCTTAGTGAATTATGACTGCAAAGTCGTAGGTAGAAGCTAATAGGTTAGAAAGTGGTTCAAGTTCTTTGTATATTAGGTTCCCGGGCCCTGTCCTTGACTTTGTGTTTTGTACTTACACAATGAGCCCCTATTTCTTCGTGACCTATACAAGGAATAGAACCAATTTTGCATCCTACTTCTGGTGCAGGCCCCCTAAATAACATCTGCTCTGTCCCTCTCTTTCTGCCTCCTCTTTGCACAGGTTGTGTGGGTATCCCCCCTTTTATTCCAATCATGGCCTTGCCATCTCTCCGGGCATGAAGACCCGTATCCGAATGGGCCAGTATGAATTTCCCAATCCAGAGTGGTCAGAAGTATCAGAGGAAGGTAGGAACCCAGCCTTTGGGACAAGGGGAAGACCTCATGTGCAGCTGTGTGCTCACGCGTGTGTGTGTACGCATGTGTGTGTGCACACATGAATATGAGGTGGTCTGTCTCCTGCTGCTGGGCGGGCCTTACCTGTGTGGAGCCTGAGCAAAGGCCTTGATGTGGGCCATGAGGCCCTAGAAAGTGGAGAGCACACTGGTCCTTGGGGCCACTTCAGTGTGCCTCTGTGGCAATCCCTGTTGAGCCTGGTATCCTCTGAAAACTGGCAGGGAACAAAACAGGGAGTGACCCCTGAGCTGTCCCTGTCCCCTTTGCCACTCAACAGTGAAAATGCTTATCCGGAACCTGCTAAAAACAGAGCCTACTCAGAGAATGACCATCACGGAGTTCATGAACCACCCTTGGATTATGGTGAGCCCGGTGTGCGAGGCGGGCGAGGAAGCGAGGTCCGCAAGGACTGTCCTTGGGCTGAGCCTTTGCCAGGTCCTTGTGTGTCCCAGCTCTCACTGGAATCCCTTATCTCTCCTCAGCAATCCACAAAGGTCCCTCAGACCCCACTCCACACCAGCCGAGTCTTGAAGGAAGACAAGGAGCGGTGGGAGGATGTCAAGGTGAGGGTACCACTGGCGGGAGGCCTGAGCTGCGGCTCTGGGCAGGCAGGGCTGTGTGGGGATGCCAGGATAGGGTGGTGCAGGTAGGGGAGGGGTGGTTCTCTTGTCTCGCTGCCAACACGAACAGTGATTGGGAGCCGCTTCCCTGACGCAGGGCCAGGCAGAGGCGCTGTGTTCCTGTGGAGACTTTGCTGCAGCTGTGTTCTGCCAGCCCTTGCTGCTCAGGTCCCTCAGGGGTCTGAAAGGCCCTCTGATAGGAGCGGACCAAGGCCCAAAAGGGAGTGACCCATTTTAGGTCACATAGCTGGTGACCGTCTGGGACCAGCCAGAGCTCCTGATCTGTTCAGGACTCTTGCCCTCACTGCAGGGTCCTAGGAGGCTGTGTGGGTCTAGCTCTGGGTGACTCATGGTCACCTGCTCAGTGCACTAACTGGCCTGCCTTCCTCTTTTCTCACACGTGCCCCGCCCCTGCACTCGCCTGCCTCCTGTCTCCTCTCTCATGCTCTTTCTTCACACTTCCCGCCCTCCTGTCACTTGCTTTTGCTTTGTGCCTTCCTCCTGCTGCTGCTGCCCCTAGGAGGAGATGACCAGTGCCTTGGCCACAATGCGTGTCGACTATGAGCAGATCAAGATAAAAAAGATTGAAGATGCATCGAACCCTCTGCTTCTGAAGAGGCGGAAGAAAGCTCGGGCCCTGGAGGCTGCGGCCCTTGCCCACTGAGCCGCTGTGCCTCCCGCCCCACTGGAGGACAAGCAATAACTCTCTACATGAATATATTTTTTAAATGAAGAGATACAGACTGTCTACTTCCACCTCCTCTCCTCCTCAGCTGTGTGGAGCCTGGAACTGAGCCTGTGGCTGAATTCTGCCTTTGGTTCTGGCTACACTGGAGTGGGAGGGGCTGGGGGGCTGTGGAGAGACAGGAGCAAGGTGCTCCTGAACCTGTGCTCATTTTGCAATTTTATCAGTAATTTGACCTAGAGTTTTTATGAAATCTTTTATTGTCCTTTAGCCCATCCTCTTCCTTTCCACTGGACCCCTTTCCCCCTGGTACTGCAAAGGTCTGGCTGGGGTAGAGCCAGAGTATCTGTGGAAACAGCTGTGGGGAGTGTGCCTGCCTTGTCTACCTGTCCTCCCTGTTTCCCGCTATGCCTGGAGTCCCCACGGGCTCAAGTGTTGTGGGAGCTCGAGGCCTCCTGAGTGGGGGTGCCTACCGCTCCTTTTCTGGAGCACTCAGCCCTCACCAGTGTGCCAGACAGAAGGAGTAACTGTGTTTGTATGCATGTGCCATGCCCAGACCTGTGCCTGGGACTGTGCATTCAGTGGGCCTGGGCCGCAGGGCTCCGGAGCCTCTCCCTCCCTACCCATACTGAGCCCGCCTAAGTGCCTGGGATGCTCATCCAGATGGAGCCAGGCTGGCTGCGGGCTGCCTGGTAGCTGGGTTCCAGGAGCCGAGGGGAGTGACTGGGCACTGGTGCAGCGATCAGGAAGACTGGACCCCTCAGGACCCCTTTCCCATGTAGCGTAGCGGTCCTTGGTCCTCGGAGGTGCTGACCTTCTGAAGAGCCTTTGGACTTCTCTTCTTGCCACGATCGCCCATGCTTGTGGATTTCCTCGGGTTTTAGCCATTTCTCAGTGGGCACCTCTTAGCTCTCACAGGTGAGCCGAGGCTGCTCAGGCTGCGATGCTTTTGCGTTCGTGCTTCTCTCCTGGCTGGGGGCAGCAGCCAGCTCCTCCTGTGGGTGAGGGCAGGACCATTCTCTGTGGCCACGCCCCCATCTCCATTGTGTGGCCTAGGGATGGGGGCAGTCTTTGCACCAAAGATGTCCCGACTCTGCCCCTGCCCATTAGCCACTGTACTGTCCCCCAACTCAGCCTGTGAAGGGAGGGGCTCCCCCAGGATTGAGGAGCAGCGTGGGAGAGTCCTCTGTGTTATGGTCCCACATTGGCCCTCCCTTCTGGGGAGGAAGGGGGTGGCTCCTCAGGGTTGGTGGTGGAGGGGCCCCTGGGTCCTCTCCGGGCCTGGGGACAGGGCCCTGGGTGCCTGCAGCACCTGCCTTGTCTGTGATGGTGTGTCCGACACTCAGACTGTTGTAAACTGTTGTTTTGTATGAGCAAAATTGTCTTTACTAAACAGATTTAATAGTTGAGAGTTTTCCTTTCTCTTTCTTTCTTGAGGTTCAGGCCCTTGATCCCTGCTCTCTGCACTTCCCATGCGCGGAGAGGTCTAATGTGCCAGGGAGGACAGAGCCGGTCCCCTGGGCGGTACAAAGAGGGCCTCCGTGGTAAGGGCGTGTCTGGTGTGGGGGGAAGGGGTGCGGCTCCGTTTCTAGTGACAAGAACCTGGGAGACCTTCCTCTTTGCCAAATATTGTCTGTGGGTCCAAGTTACTTTTCGACACATGACTCTTGGATAGTGGCTACAGGTGCTGGCACTGTCAACCTGGGGGGACTACCCATGTGGGGTCCTGGAAGGAGGGTGTTGTGTTGAATTTGGGTCCCTCAGGGAGGCATCAGGGAGCAGGTTGATGTAGTACCGAAGATTTCCAGGAGGGGGCAGTAGGGACCAGGCAGAGACCCCTACCTGGGAGCCAGAAGAGACGTTACGTTTTCCTAGACATTTTCCCCACCTCTGGGTGGGCACTGAGGTCCTGGGTTGGTGTGAATTGAATTACAGTACCTAGAGCAAGAGCTGGTCTACTGAACCCATCACTGCCCCTCCCAGTCAGGTAGGGAGAGCACATGTCCTGGATCAGTTGTTCACTTGCGTCCCTCAGAGCTGGCCTGTAGAAAGGCAAGCCAGGTGGCTGTTTGTTCTTGTTCATGGGTGAGGAGACCAAGGGGGGGTTGCACTGTGGTGGTCACAGAGCAGTTGGGCTAGAAAGATGCAGCACGATGGGATTGGGTCCACCTAGATGGTCTGGATAACCCCCTCTTCTCAGGGTCTTTGCTTGTAATCCATCTGCAGACTCCTTTGCCACAGAAGGTGACATCCACAAGCCTTGCCAGTAGAGACAGACATCTGTGGCGTTACTGTGCCACAGAAGCTGGTCTCGCGGCCTTCTTGTCCTTGGGCCCCAGTGTCTTGTTTCCTTCCCGGGGTCGGCCCAGCTCAGGAGGATGCTCTGTGGCCAGTGAGACTCCAGCCTGGATTTGGCTTGTTGCACAGATGGCTGGGGTAGGGTCGTGCCTCCCTCTGCTCCAGGGCCCGGCCTTCCATGCTGGCATGGCCCTGGAGCTCCATCTCGAACTTGCGCAGCTCCTGCTGAGCTCTCTATTTGGGCGGCGCAGATGCCAGCTTCCATGAGGTGGGGGTGGTGGCGGACTGGGTGGGTGGTGTGAGATTATGAAGAGGGTGGCAGTCCGTCTTCAGTTGTCTACGAGGAAACTCGGGCTCAGAGAAGTAGAAACCTGCCCAAGGTCTCCCAGCCAGTTGGGTGAGTCCAGCCTGACTGTCAGCCACCACATTTAGAGTTCCTGTAAAAAACACATGGGAGGGTCTGGATACAGGAGGGGCAGGAATGAGGATAGTCCCCGCAGCTCGGAGCAGGGGCAGTGCCCTGCCAGTGCCCCGGGAGCCCTAAACTCTGCAGTTGAGTGGGCTGGGCTGAGTCTGCACGTTTTTGGGGTGAGGAGGCAGTTGGGTTGGTAAACAATAACAGTAAATTTGGGGTTTTCCTTTGACTGGGTTGGAGACAGGAAATTCAGAGGGCTGTGAATGACGAGTGGGTAGGTCGGGCCTGCTCAAGGTGTGAAGAAAATTCAGTTATTCAAGGGAGGAGGGCGAGGTAAGGTGGTAAGGTGGGGAAAGTGGCTGTCCCACTGAGGAGATTGTAAACAAACGGTGCCTAGAGTCCTGGGGCAGTGGGTGGAGACAGGAGGTTTAGGGGGCAGCCTTGGCATTCTAAGGTTGGAGAATGCAGTCCCTTCTGGATATGCTTTCTTTGGGTACTAGGGTTCAAGCGCAGGGCCTTGGCACTGAGCTGCACACATCCCCAGCCTGACAGCATCTTGCTGAGTTACCAGGTTGTCTAGGCTGAGTTGGAACTTGTGCTCCTTCTGCTTCAGACATCCAAGTGCTGGGATTCCAGGTCTGCGCCTCTTGAAGCTTGTGTCAGGGGCCCCAGCAACTCAACAAGGGTCTGGGTGAGTTTGGGACCAGCTGCTGTTCAAAAGGGACCTCAGCTCCATCTCTGAGGACCCATTTGATGACTTTGTCTGGCTCCCATGCCTTTACTTGGGCTGGTGTGGAGAAGCTGTTTGACACGATGTCACTGAGCATCTGGGCCTTCTCTGTGCCCTGTGCTGAGGGGAGCAATGATGTCTAAGACCAGGCTCTGCCCTTGGGGAGCTTCTGGGAGGTGCAGAACCCCTGTGTGCAGCAGCAAATGGTCTCCCTTTCTGTCCCCTACACCCATGCGCCTGGACACTTAGAGCCTGTTCCAAACAGGTGTGTCCTCCAAGCCCAGGCAGCACCAGAGCCTCAGGCCCTAGATGTTTGGAGACAGAAGAAATGAGTGAGTTAGAGGAAGTGGACACCAGCTCCTCAGCCTGTTTGGACAAAGCCCTCACGTCCTGCCTTGGTTGGGGGTGATAGTCACGCCTGCCCTTGCCCAGGCTCTTGAGGATGGAGTGAAGCCATGCTGAGACGGAGCAGTGGAAGAAGCACTGTTTGAACATTTGTAAGTTTAGGCCAAGCTCTAGGCCATCTTTGCAGTGGGTCAGAGGTTTGACTTCTTCAGCGAGATGTTCAGCCTCACCCCAGAGCACAGATGCCACTTGATGTGAGGAGCTCTGTGTCAGGCCATCACCCAGGACTTGGGGGCCATGGGTGAGAGCGTAGGTTCAGCTCCTACAGGGCTCCATGCACAGGAGTGGGTGGTGTCCCTGTGGCAGAAGGCAGGAGAATCTGTGCTGATGCAGAGGGAAGCAGGTGGCATGGTGCAGACAGCTGGCTCACTGGCCCTCTGTCAGTAGATCCTGGCAGCCCTTCTGGCTGGCAGCGAGGCACGATTCTGCGGTCTGAAGGAGACAGCAGCGTGGTGTAGGCAGCCGCATGGGGTTGCCACTCCAGTCTCTCCACCGCAGCAACATCCTCCTTCCTGAGGCAGCTCGTTCCTTCTGTCTTCTGGTCAGACGGAACTGCTGTCTGCTCTGCGTTTCAGTTTGACCTTTAACTCAGAAATCTGGTTGCTCCATCTCCTGGGGTGCCCAGCGATTTCTGTCCAATTTCTCTTTCCCATCCCTTCAACCTGGAGGCTTCCCAAAATCAAAACTTGGGAACATAGTCTGGCAGGTAGTTCCCCACTAATTTTTCAGTTCATTAATAGATAAAAAGCCTTACAAAATAATGTTTTAGACTTACTTTATTTATAGGTAGACATTTTATGAATCATTATCAAAGAGGAAGGCTTCACATGAAGTTGGGGGCCCTCCTAGAAGAGCAGGACGAGCGATTATTGGCTTCCTTGCTCTTCTTGCCTCTGCCACTCATGAGCCATAGCTCTTCACAGCTGCCCTCACCCTCAGCCCTTGTGTTCCTGCACCGCTTCTGAGTAGCTGTGAAGCCCTTGGGGGCCTCAGTGGGACGAATACTGATATTAATGTGCTCTCGTGTCTGTCATTTCTGTTTCATACACCAGCATCTCAAATGTGGGGTTACCTTGGAATTAATGTTTTCCCTCTAGAGGGAATGATAATTGCTCCCAAGGTAAGTCACTTCCCTAGGCCTTAGGGAGGCCTGCAGGGTTCCAGGTGGGGCCCTGCAGCAGTGGGATCTGTGCCTGGTAGGTCATTTTTAGGGACCAGGACTGGCATGCAAATGTACTCATTTGCATAACTTCCTCACTCTCAGGCACAGTAAAGTTTCCTACTCTCATCTCACACCCTTGCCAGGATTTGCAAGTGAAATATTAGGACTGGCTTTTTCCCTTTGCCACCCCCTCCCTACCATCTGTCCACTGGGGCTCACATGACTGCAAACTAACTAGTCTTCTCTGATCCTAAGGGTTTAGTGATCCCAGTGCAGGATTATGCAGTGCAGTTGAGGTCAAAGGCTGTGCAAGGAGTGCCCTGTTGGGGCTCTGGCTCTAGCCTAGTGGTTACTAGCACAGGCCCCTCAGTCTGAGCTCGTGTAAAACGTGCTCTTGCTCCCTGCCCAGCCCAGGCAGCTGTGGGTCACTTGTTCCTCAAACAGCTGGAGGCCCTTGGGGTAATAAGGCCTCAGGTTTCAGAATGAGCGGAGTGCTCCCTGTCCTTACCCTGTGATTTGGAGACGTGTGGTTCTGAATTCACCAGTCAGAGGTTTACTTTTCAAAGAAACCACGATCTCTTCCGAGGCTGAGACCAGACTTTGGTTAGCCGGAGTCTGTGGTGCAGAGAGCTGGTATTTGCAGTAAGACCTAGAGGGGCCTAGTTTTCTGGTACTCAGATGTCTACTTTTCTGGTCATAAGTATGTTCTAAGGAAACTGCCCTCATGGTGAGTCTGGAACCCTGCTTCTCACCCACCTACCCCTCTGCAGGAGGGGCAAGAGGACAGAAAGGACCATCCTCAGTGCAGCCTATGAGGAAGAGGGGAGATGAGAAATACTGTCTGACCGGGTTCCAAAAGACAGCTTACTAGGGACAAGTGCTTGGTATCTGTGGAATGAATGAATGCATCTGAAGAAAAATGCATGCAAGTAATTTCAGTAATTCAAACAAATTATGCAACAGAATAAAGTGTGAAATTCCTCTTTATAACCTCTCTGCACCATATGATGTCAGTTCTCTAGAAATAACTTGTAACAGCATGACATACTGATTTTTATCCAGATGTTTCTGTTAGTTTATCTGGATGCATGTATACTTATACATACAAATGAGAAATTTCTTTGAAGGTTATAGCAAATGTAGATGCAATCTTTAGATGTAATTCTGCAGTCTACTTTTCATGGAACAAAATTTAACTACCTTAACTATTTTTAAATGTGCAGTTTAATAGTATATTTACAGTGTTGTGGCCCAACATCTAGAACCTTTTCCTACCCATTAAGCAACATACTACCTGCTTTTTAATTTAGTTTATCTCATTTTCCAAGATTTCAGTCGTAGAACTATCTTATTCTATTTATTTTGCAGTGCTGGAATTGAACCCAGGGCCTCACGTATA